AAAAAAAAATAGGAGTGTGAGAGTGGACATCCTTGTCTTGCTTCTGTTCTTAGGGGGAAGACTTCCAACTTCTAGCTGTTCACTATGATGTCGGTTGTGGGTTTATCATAGGCGGTTATATTATTATTAAATATGTTCCTTTGATACCTAGATGGTTGAGGGGTTTTATCATGAAGGGATGTTGGATTTTTAGCAATGTGCTTCTCTGCATCTACTGAGATGATCACATAGTTTTTGTTTTTAATTCTCTTTATGTTGTGAATCATGCTTCCTGATTTGCAAATGAAGAGCCAACTTTACATTCCAGGAATAAACCCCACCTGTTCATGGTGAATGAACTTTTTTATGTACTGTTGTCTGTGATTTGCTAGTCTTTTGTTGGAAATTTTTGTGTCTATGTTCATCAGAGATATAGTTGTTGGGAGCCAACATCTATAGCTATATGGCTGAGGCCTGTAAAGGCCCCTCTGGAAGATCGCCTCTGACATAGGATATCAGTTATACCTATAATATTGGCATGTGAGTAGTGACCAGTGTGCATACATGGCAGTAAAACTTATAAGTAAATCTCAATACGCCTGATGGAAAGTGCACAGCAGAATTATTTTTCTCTGTCTTTCTAAGTTGCACTCCTTTTTCTAGATATTTTAAAACTTCTATTTCCTGGTAGACTGGTCAGTCAGCTCTTGTCCCCGAAAGCAGTTTCCCCTAGGGCTAGGATTAGAAACTAAATTACCATAATAGTTTTGTCATCCTGCCTCTAGCCAGGCAGAACATTTTCTTTTGTTTCGTTAAATACCAAAACTCTGTTTGCTTCAGCTCATGGCCACTGTCATGGCGGCCATGCATTTCCTTGTTCAAGAGTGTGACAGCTACTATTTGATTTTTAGAGTAGACTTGTTAGGATAAAATATATACATATACACTCATAGTTGCATTTACATTTTATAGTATATTTGAGTGAATTTATGCTTGCTGTTTTGTTTCCTTTTGCTACATTATTCAAATATAATAGTTACTATAAGATTTATAAAAGAATTAATGATGAGGTATTAGCTTAATAGGATATAGCATAGTATTAAAGGTCAATCATTAGATTATATAAAAATTAAAGTTTAGACATATGAAACTCATATGAATTATAGTAAAGTTTGGTAGTTTAAGAATAAGTTTTAACTGAGTTGTAAGGCATTACGTTAAATCGTAATAGGATAATAGTATAACTAACAGCTAAGTCATTTAAGTAAACTTATAGATTATAGTATAGTGTTAAGTTGATAATATTAATCGTTAAAAAATATTAGGAGTCAATGAACTTGGATTGAACCTAGAGTTAACTTAGAAAGTTTTTTGAATTAATCAGGGTTTAGAACAAAGAGTATAATACGAATGATTTATTGAACATTATGGAAAACACTTTGAACGATCTGTATTGAAATTGTGCACCTGTGACCTTAATGTGGGTTTTGTGAAGCACAACAGGCATCATGGAATTCGAATTGTTTGCTTGGAACTTGCAAATCTCATGATGGTCTTGTGATGCATAGTTTGTAAAGCGCTATATGCATGGAACTTGTACGCCCCCAGCAAGTGATTATCACACTGCTGGAGGGTATAGAAAATGGTATATAAGTTGGAAGGAGTCCGAATAAAATTTGGCTTCAGTCCTGATCAGACTGTTCCCAGAAGAACTGCCTCCGAGTGGTCTTTTCTCGCTGTCCAAATTCTCCAGTGCGGGTCCTAACCCACCCTCTGTCGGAGCGGGTCTCCGACTTATAGTTTTCTTTCTTTGTTGTGACTTTGTCAGATTTTAGTATAAGGATGATATTGGCTTCATGGAATGAGTTAGAGAAGAGTCCTTCTTCCTTGGTTTTTTTGGAATAGTTTCAGTAGGATTGGTACTAGCTCTTTCTTGTACATATGGTAGAATTTGACTGTGAATCTGTCTGATCCAGGACTTTTTTTGGTTGGTAGTTTTTTTTGGTTTTGTTTTGTTTTTTACTTATTCAATTTCAGGACCCCTTATTGATCTGTTCAGGGCTTCAATTTAATTCTCCTTGGGAGAATGTGTGTTTCCAGAAATGTATCCATTTCCTTTCAATTTTGTAGTCTGCATGCATATAGTTGCTTATAGTAATCTCTGAAAATCTTTTGTGTTGCTCTGGGATCAAATGTAATGTCACCTTTTTGTTTCTGAATGTACTTATTTAGATTTTTATCTTCTTTTAATTGTTAATCTGATCAATGCTCTATCAATCTTTTTTCTCCTTTCAAATAGCAAATGTTTTATTTCATTGACTTTATGTGTTGTTGGGGGTTTTTTGTTTGTTTTCTTCTACTCTGATTTTGGTTATTTATTTTCTTCTGCTATCTTTGGATTTAGTTTTTACTTCTTTTTCTAGTTCCTATAAGTGAGGCATTAGGTTGTTTAGTTGATATTTTCTATCTTCTTGATGTTGGCATTCAGTACTATACATTTTCCTCTTAACACTGATTTTGTGGCATCCCAGAGGTTTTGGTAAGCTGTGTCTTTATTGTCTTTATTTTCATTTGTTTCAAATAATTTATTTTCTTCTGTCTTGATTTCAGTGTTTACTCAAAAATCATTCAGAAACAAGTTGTTTTCATGTAGTTTTCATGTGTGATTTTGAGGGTTCCTCTTGGTATTTATTTCTATTTTTATTCCATTGTGTTCAGAGAAAGTGCTTGATATGCTTTTGATTTTTTGGAATTAATTAAGACTTGATTTATAACCAAGCATGCAGTCAATCTCAAAACACATTCTATATACAGATGAGAAGAATGTATCATCTGTGGTTGTTGGTTGAAGTATTCTGTAGATGTCTACTAGATACAATTGGTCAAGTGTCTAATTTAAGTCCAAGATTTCTTTGTTAGACTTCTGCCTTAATGATATGTCTGAAGTTGTTAGTGGGGTTTTGACATTCCCCCTATTTTCATGTGACTGTCTAAGATTTTCTTAGGTCTAGTAGTAATTGTTTTATAAATCTGGGTACCCAAATGTTCGCTATGTATATATTTAGGATAGTTAAGGCTCCTTGTTGAAATTGAACCCTTTATCATTATGCAGTGCCATTCGATGTCCTTGCTTCCTGTTGCTTCAAAGTCTGTTTTATCTGATACAAGAAGAGTGATCCTTTTTATTTTCCATTTGCATGGTAGATTTGTCTCCATCCCTTTACCTTTGATTCTGGGGTTAGGATGCATTGTTGGTGAGCTGGTGTGATCCTTTGGAGGTAACAAAACACTGGGTTTTGTATTGCTGGAGTTCTTGCACTCATTTCTTCTCATCTGAGGGAGTTGACACTTCTTTTTTTGAATGGCTATCATTTGGATGGAGTTGTTTTTTTATTTTGTTTGGCTGCGTTTTTACTTTTTTTCTTCTTTTTTTCCCTTGTGGGTATGACCGTGGTGTATGTTGTATATGACTGACTGGCTTCTTTTCCGGGTGCTTTCAGAAGGGCACGGTTCTGTACAACTTCCTTGGCCTCAGATGGCTGCACCCAGAGACTCAAACGTTACTTGCTGTAGCCATGTATTTTTATTTGGCAGTATGGTTCAGGCCAAAGTCCAGCAGATGGCACTTAAAAGAGTAAGAGCCGGCAGGTAAGCTCTACTTTTTCCAACCTGGCCCTCACCTGGGAGAAGGGACAGAGGTGCCAAAAAGAATGAGAAAAGGACCCTCCCCTGCCAGCATATGGAGGGCATGGAGCCACTCCTGGGCTCCAGCATGAAGAACCATCACCCCATGTACAACTGTGCTCAGAGGAGGCTGCCGGGGCGTGAGAGATGGCCCTCTCTCCAAGTCTGTTTTTGGTTTTCGGTGCTGCCTCTCTCAAAACCCAGCACCATGCCCACATTATCTTTGTCCCTGAACCAGCTGGTAGTTTTAAAATCATACTTAACTAAAGGGAAATCACAAATGATGAAGGCTGCCCTGAAGATGTCCAACCACTTAAAATCACAGTCAAGTGTCATTCCTGGTGGAAGCATAGACATGGGTCTTGAAACTCCCAGACATGTCAGTGTTGCCGTACAGAGATCAATTAAGTGAAAGCACATGTCAGGCCTCACATTCTCCAAAAAGTTGGTGGTTGCTTGGTTGGTTCCTTGGTTGGTTTAGTGAGTCTCACTCTGTTGCCCAGGTTGGAGGTGGCACAATCAAGGACTCAGGCAATCCTTCAGCCTCAGCCTTCCAAGGAGCTGGGTGGCATGCCACCATGCCTGGCTAATCTTTTCCTTTTTTTTTAATTGTAGAGACAAGATCTCGCCAAGTTGCCCTGGCTGGTCTCAAACTTGTGGGTGCAGGCAATCTTCTCCCCTCCACCTCCCAAAGTGCTAGGATTACAGGCATGAGCCACTGTACCCAGTTCCAAAAGGTATTAAGGGATCATTTCCACCCATGTGACAGGTATTCCATGGTGAAATGTTCAGTACAGATCACCCACAATTACTCTTTAAGAACAGCATGCTGTTCAGCAATTTGAAAAAATGAGACCAGAGCTTTCTACCTTCATGATGTAATGATTTGGAAGCAAAATCTGGGACAGAATAGGATCAACCAAAACTTGTGTTTGCACAGTCATTGTGTACAAATGCAATAAGCACAGATACACACAGGCTCCTTGGCTGTTTCAAATCTCCGTCCTCCTTCTGAGGACTGACAAACACTACCTACAGGGAAAGATCTGGACATGAATCCAAGGATTTCAGGAGCAAAGACAGCAGTCTGTTAAAGTCAGAGTATTGTCTATTTCAAAACAGCTAAAACAGAGGTCTTGAAATGTTCTCAACACACAGAAGTGATCAATGCTAAAGGTGATTTATATCCTAAATCCCCTAACTTGATCACTACACATTCTATGCATGCAACAAATTACCACAGGTTACCCATAAAGAGGTATAAACTTTATGTCATCAATAAAAAATAAAAATAGATTTTAAGAAAATATTTTTCAGGAAAAGAAAAAGTTACCCACCCTTGGTGTTTTTCAACTCCTCGACCAGGCAGCGGGCTTCCTCTTGAACACGCTCCTCAATACTCCTCTTTCCCATCCCAAAATTCCGCAGGGTGATGAGAGAGAAACGCCGCATCTCCTTCCATCTTTTTCCGTTGCTGAAAAGGATACCTAACAGGAGGGAAACAGAAACTGGGGAGAAGATCCCAGGAGAGGAAGAGGAAACTGACACTCGGCAGGCAAGCAGATGGGTTGGGCTCTGCCCTGGAAACTCTTCAAGTCTCTGTGTGTAATCCCCATACACACACACACACACACACACACACACACACTTACCAAATCCTTTATTAATTTTTTCAGCCACTGGAAAACTGCCTCTTCCAGAAAACATTTCTCCTAGGTCAATCAAGGCCTCCTTCACCGCTTCATATCCATGTAACACCACGATGGGCTTCGTGCCAAAATACAAAGTGAACACAGGGCCGTAGACTCTTGAGATCTGATCATAGAAAAAGAGATTCAGACAGCAGGAAAATAAGTCAGCACATGGTCTACATGTTTGCATGAATCAGACTGATGGTATCACCCGACTATTGATATCTTTACTCCGGTAAACGCAGCTTCAAATATTTCTGGATTTTACATATATAAATATGATGGTGATTGTTTTAGCTGCATGTATAGAAAGCCTCCAGCATGCCACGCCATGGTCCTGACAATTCGTATGCAGATTGTTACACTCAGTTATCACATCAACACCTCAAGCTGTTTATTTCCCCTGTTTTAAAGACACAGCAGATTGAGTTCTAAACTTCAATTTCATTTTTATTATCCCTCCACTAATAAATAGAAAACCAAATCTGAACCCTATTTAGTTGACCTCTGATGCCTTAGCAATTTATGTGTCTCTAATTTCTACATCGAACCAAGATTCCACTGCTAAGATCACCTGCAAAGCTTTCCTTATAGGAATCCTGACGCAGTCCCCCTGTCACCAATGCTAGAAATCTATACTTTTTAAAATAGACTGCACAGATTTCTACTCCCCAGCCCACTGTGAGATCCACTGGTATTATTGCCACAGGAAGACAATGATCACAACAGAGACAGTGCCAGGATGTGCAGCATTTCATGGGAGAGCTTATGTGTTGTAAAACACATAACACGTGTTGTCGCAGACAGCAGCTCTATACAGAGGCCAAGATTATTCTGTTACCACCCAGTTGGCCCTGACTAACTAATCCTTTCTTTCATCTGTTTGTGTTTAACTCGTAGATATTTCCTTGACAAGCAGACATGAATTGCTTTTCTGGAAAAGTTTAATGATCATGGTTAATCTAAACAAAATACACAGAGTATACAGCAGTCGGCTTCTTAAATAAAATCTCTAATCACAAAACATATTCATTAACATTTACCTTAAAGAAGGAAATTCTGTTATTTGCAAAAAGGTGATTTCATTGGGAAAGCATCGTGTTAAGTAAATAGGTAGGCACAAAGGGACAAATACTGTACAATCTCGCTGCTCTGTGGAATCTAAAACAGTGGAAATCATAGAAGTGGAGATTGAAATAGTTACCAACCAGGGCAACTTGGCGAGACCTCATCTCTACAATAAATCAAAAATTAGCAGGGCGTGGTAGCGCGCGTCTGTAGTTCCAGCTACTCGGAAGGCTGAGGCAGAAGGCTCGCCGGAGCCCAGCAGGTCGAGGCTGCGTTGCCCGGGAGCGGCCACTGCACTCCAGTCTGGGCGACAGAGTGAGATTCCAACTCAAAAAAAAAAAAAAAAGAAATAGTTACCAGACATGAGGGAGGCTTGCAGGATGGACCTGGAAAGGAAAGACTTCTGTTCATGGGTACAAAGTTGCAATTACATAAGACAAATAAGTTCTGGTGTTCTATCCACACCAAGTTGACTATAGTTAATAATAACGTATGTTTCAAAATAGAGAAAAGAGAGATTTTTAAGTGTTCTCTCTAAAAAGATATGGTAAACTGAGTGCAATGACTCACGCCTGTCATCCAAGCACTTTGAGAAGCAGAGGCGAGAGGATTGCCTGAGCCTGTGGGTCCAAGACCAGCCTGGGCAACTTGGTGAGACTTCGTATCTACAACAAATACAAAAAATAACCAGGTCTGATGGCGCGTGCCTGTAGTTCCAGTTACTTGGAAGGCTGAAGCAGAAGGATCACCTGAGGCTGCAGTGGCCTTGAGCATGCCACTGCACTCCAACCTGGGTGACAGAGTAAGACTCCAACTCAAAAAAAAAGAAAGAGAAATGACAAGAGTTTGAGGTGATGGGTATGCTAGTCACCCTGACATGCTCATTCCACAATATTCACATGTGTCAAAATCTAACCTTGTGCCCCATAAATACGTACAATTATTATTTATCTATCAAAAGTAGAAGTTTAAAAAGAGTGGGGGTTGATACTCACCGCTCGTAAATCACTGAAGAGGCACAGAGCATACTTACACTGGTTAAGGATTTGCTGATGTTCTTAATGTCTATTTGTAGGATATTTCCAATAACGGGGAGGGGAGCTGGGCCAGGAGGGAGGGTCCCTTTCCCAGAGCTCTGTTTCCAGAGTGACAGGAGAAGCAAACAGGAGAGGCAGAGCGCCAGGGCCACAGACAGATCCATTGCAGCCTTCTCTTCTTGCCAAGACAACTGCAAGCTTGCACTCCAGGGTTTTTATAACACGCCCTGCCAATCCATGTATGACTCTGACACGCAAACAGCCAATCCGCCACATTCCCTCTAATCTCTCTCACGAATGGACTTTGGTTCACTGAAAAAATGAAGTGTTCTTTTTCCCTGCTGTCTTTTTCAGCGCTCCACCCTGGAGCTTCTGGTTTAACTAGTCTGGGAGAGATACTGCTTTGACTTTTGTGAACACCTCCAGTGTTTCCAAAGTACAGCAGAATTTTTTTGCAATGAAGCCAATTATTTCATTTAAAAAGCATTCAAAATTCTAGATCCTTTGATTGATGACCAGCTGAAAATTTTTCACTCTGAGGGCAATCGGTGTATTCCATCCATTGTCTGCAAAATCATGTTTATCCTGTATTGTTTCTCAACACTAGAACACTGTCTTTGAAAATGAAAGCCTTGCCGGGCATGGTGGCTCACACTTGTTATCCCAGCACTTTGGGAGGCTGAGGTGAAAGGATTGCCTGAGTCCAGGGGTTCGAGACCAGCCTGGACAACATGGCAAGACCTCGTTTCTGCAAAAAATAAAAAAAATTAGCTGAGCGTGGTGGCGCATGCCTGTGGTTCCAGCTACTTGGAAGGTTGAGGTAGAAGGATTTCCTGAGCCCGGAAAGTCAAGGCTGTGGTGGCTGTGAGCCTTCCATCACACTCCAGCCTGGATGACAGAGTGAGACTCAGACTCAAAAAAAGAAAATGAAATAAAATTAAAAAATAAAAAAGTATTCAAAATTCTGGATTCTCTGATTGATAATCAGTTGAAAATTTTTGACTTTGAAGGCAATCTGTGTATTCCTTTCATTGTCTATAAAATAATATTCACCCTAAACTACTTTCTCAACACTAGAATAGTTCCCTTAAAAGTGAAAGTCTTTTGAAATATTTCAGTGTACTGTAATAACATTAAACCTGCCTAAACTTCAACGAGCGTACATAATGCATACATCTTAATTGAATATGTATCAAGTAATTAGGTAAGTAGATATACACACCTTTTACCACTAAGCCCCCCTAAAAATCAGTGGAAGACAGAAAAAAAAATTTTTCAAAGAAAAAGAAAAGAAACTCTGGGAGAACTGGTGACATGACCAATGTCCCTCAGCTCCTGGGTGGCAGAACCGAGGTCTGAACTGAGATTTTCTGAAGCCCACTGGGGTGTCACTTACACCAAGAATCACCTCAGGGGCAATTTTTGCAAAATAAAACAAAACCTGGCCAGACGCGGTGGCTCACACCTATCATCCCAGCACTGGGAGGCAGAGGCGAGAGGATTGCCTGAGAACAGGGATTCGAGACCAGACTGGACAACTTGGCAAAACTCATCTCTGCAGTAAATTAAAGAATTAGCCAGATGTGCTGGAGTATGCCTGTGGCCCAGCTGCTTGGAAGGCTGAGGAGAGAGGATCACCTGAGCCCAGTAAGTCAAGGCTGCGGTGGCCGGAAGCTTGCCACTGCACTCCAGCCTGGGCGACAGAATGAGACTCTGATTCAAAAAAAAATTTTTTTTAAACCTCAAACATTAGTAACTCGGAATGTACACCACACTGACTGTTCACAAAATAGCAGGGCCATATGTTCTCAAGAGAAGAAGTAAAAAGACAGGGTCTCACCCCCTCCATCACTGAGAGAAGAGTCAATCTCAGAGACTTTAGTGGGGAGTTGAGAAATGATGGACTCTCAATTTCCAGGGGCTTCCAGACACTTCCAAACACCTTCCATAGCTATGGGTTTTTTTATGGTAAGAGTCCCTAAAATCTACTCTTTTAGCAAATTTTCAGCATACAGTACAATACTATTATTATTATTATTATTATTATTTAATAGAAGTCCCACTCTGTCACCCAGGCTGGAGTGCAGCGGCACGCTCACGACCACCACAGCCTCAAACTGCTGGGTTCAGGTGATTCTTCTGCCTCAGCCTTTCAAGTAGGAACTATAGGTACGCCCCATCATGCCTGGTTAATTTTTTGACTGATTGTAGAGACGCAGTCTCGCCAAGATGCCCAGGCTGGTCTCAAGCCCCTGGGCCCAGGCAATCTTTTCACCTCCGCCTCCACCTCCACCTCCCAAAGTGCTGGAATTACAGGCGTGAGTCACCATGCCAGCTAGTACGATAATAATATTAACTGTAGTCCTCATGCTAGACCCTAGATCGCTAGATGTATTTATCCTACCTAACTGTGTATTTGTACCTTTTAGCCAACTTTTCCCCATTTTTCTCTTCCTCTCACCCCTGGTAACTACCATTCTACTCTCTGCTTATATGTATTCAACTTGTTTTAGATTCTGCATACAAATGAGATCCTGCAGTATTTTTTTTTCTTTGTCTGGTTTATATCACTTAGTATAATGTCCTCCAAGTTCATCCATGTTGTTGCAAATGGCAGTATCTCCTTCTTTTAAAGAGAAAAAATATTCCACATATATATTTATGTGAGTGTGGTATATACATGCACGATATATATACTATAACTTGTTTATTCATTTATCTGTTAATGAACACATGTTATATTCATATCTTTGCTATTGTTAACAATACTAGATTAGTGCAGTTACTTTTAACTACAGTAAGGAAAAGTCAAGTTTTGTCAAGACCCCATGTACATATTGTTTTATTGATTGTGTTTGCAGGAATTCTGACAATTTACAGATGAATTTTTTTTCTGAGTTGGAGTCTCACTCTGTCACCCAGGCTGGAATGCAGTGGCACACCCACAGTTACTGCAGCCTTGACCTGCTGGGCTCCAGTGATCCTTCCACCTCAGCCTTCCAAGTAGCCAGCACTACAGGTGTGTGCTACCATGCCCAGCTAATTTTTTATTTACTGTAGAGACAAGATCTCACCAAGTTCCCCGGGCTGGTCTCGAACCTGCGGGCTCAGGCAATTCACTCGCCTTGGTCTCCCAAAGAGATAGGATTACAGGTTGAGCCACCGAGCCCGGCCTTATAGAGAATTTTCATACTCATCCTACCCCTTTTGATTCTCTGGATTACCCTTGCTGTGGTAAAAATATTTCCATGTTAGGGTTAAGGCAGCGAGACTTTGGAGATTCAGTTTCTTGTTCAAGACACACAGACACAGACTGCAGTTGAAAGAACTGAGGTTGAAAGCCATATCTCCTGACTCTTGCATGCTTGCCTTCCAGCAAGAATTTCAGTTCAACTGGATTCTCCAATATTTACTTACTATGATTCACTATCTCATGACTCAGCCTAAACAGTGATCTTCAAATAAGCATTAGCTAAGTCAATAATGGCAGCACAGGTTGATTACAATGAGGGCCAGAGACAGGTTTTGTAAACTTTAGAACTTGAGTGAGCCCAGGTTTTAGTGAACCCTTTATACGGGACACAGAGAAGCAGTTATTTTACTGTTTGGCTCACATGGCTCTGAATTCTGAAAGAACTGCACTACCATATTTTAGGTAAAATGAACTTGTTTTATTTTAGGTGAAACAAACTCAATGGCTCTCTTTAAAGCAGTTTTATTTCCTGAGTGATGGACCTCTGTTTTGTTCCTCCCTCTTTCTGCTAAGGCTCCTATCTGGCCCTTTTAAAGAAGGAAAGAATCAGAGATAACTAGAGCCAGAAGAGATTCACTAATCTAATCCCTCCTTAATTTTTAGAAATGAGGAATGTGTGACCCAGTGCGGTAAAGTGTCACCAATGCATCATCAGTACATGACTTCGTTTTGGAATCCAGTTTTCAATTTCCAGTTCAATGATTCTCCCATCACAGGGATTGACCACCACTGCCCAAACAGAGGGTCAGAGGGATGTGGGTGAAGTCTTCCACCGAGACAGAGTAACGTGAACCTCAGCTTGCGTAGAATTGTGAATTAAAACTGCTGTTTTGAACAAAATCGTGGCCTTCGCAGCAACTTGGCTGCAGTTGGAGACCATCATACTAAGTGAACTCTCACAGAAACAAAGAACTGAACACTGCTTGTTCTCACTCATAAGAGGGCTCTGAACACTAGTCACACTAGCACAAGAGAGGGATTGGCAGTCACTGGGCATTGCTAGGGAAGGGAGCAAGGCAGGTGGGAATGAGGCAGGTGGCAACACAATAGGTTCCTGGTCCACTTCTAGGAGGAGTGAGAACCAGCTAGAAGCCCAAACTTCACGCACATGCAGCCTGCCCATGTTGCAAACCCTCACTTGCACCCCACAACTCTAAAATAAAATATAAATAAAACCTCTGTAGGACAGATGTAATGATTGTATAAATTAGCATCCCCTATACATAACTGATTTCCCATTATGAGAAAATAATTGTATTTCCTTAAAACACACGACTTGAGTAACACTATTAAAGTGCATATTGTGGCTCAGCCTGTCATCCCAGCACTTTGAGAGGCCAACGTGAGTGGATTGCCTGAGCCCGCGGGTTCGAGACAAACCCGGGCAACTTGGCGAGACCTCATCTCTACAAGAAATCAAAAAAATTAGCCAGGCAAGGTAGCGCACACCCATAGTTCCAGCTTCTTGGAAGGCTGAGGTGGAATAATTGCTGGAGCCCAGCAGGTTCACTACTCCAGTTTGGGTGGCAGAGTGAGATTCCAACTCAAAAAATAAAAATAAAAATAATAAGTAAAATAAATGAATAAAATGCATATTGTGCAAATGTGAAATGTTTGAGAAATACCACTTAGAATAAGTCATCTAGTTATCTTAAATATGTTTTGATTACTAAAAATGTACCATATTGATAAGTAGCAGTATGTACAGTGACTGAGTGAGTCAATGTGTGGATTAAATGAAATAAATATGTATGCATTTTTCATTTAGAGAAAAATATAATAATACTGCTTTTTTCTTTTTAAAGAAATAATACTTCTTTCTTTTTAAAGAAACTTTATCACTGGAGCATAATATACATAGAGAACATTGCACACATCTTAAATGGATAGGTCAACCAGTTATCACAAAGTGAATGAATGTATCTGTGTT